CTCTTCTCAGATGGGCTGAAAATATTTGAAATGTACCTGAAACTGAGAAATAAAAGGCTGTTACCTGAAGTTATTAAGACTCCTTAAAATCTGGGTAAAGATTGAGTTCAGCTACTGAGTAAGATGTCTTGTTTTCTCCAGACAGGTTGATGATTCTTAATCCAAGAATTCAAGTAATGAGCAGTTGAAGTTTCCATCTTGAAGCATCTGTTCCGCCAAGTCAGCACTGGCCTTGATAAATAGCAAATCAGACTGATGCATGCAAGTGTATACACACATGCTCAAGTTAAACTTGAGGGAAAATACTTGAACAGATCTCTGCATAGACAGATTTATATAATTAATCTGTAATTAGGCTTCATACAATGCAGACTGAGTCAGTCAGGTCAAAACACAGAAAATGCAGACATGGTAGGATCTTTACCTGTTGCTGCAAAAATAATTTTCAAAGGTTATTTGTGGGTAAGCTTACATACCTTCATTTACTTGTCACAAACCTTCATTGCTATTCTAACTTACTCATCTTACATTGGAAGAAAAATATGTTTAGCTAAAGGATAAAAACAAACCACAAGTACAAGTGCATCTGGGTGCTTTCAGTAGTCTTAGCAAACTTCAAACATAACTTTAAAAGTTTTGCCTCGTTTTTAACTGTGCAGAAGAGAAGCTTGTGTACACCTCTCTTTTTATAAAGTCTGTACCAAGGTTTGCAACGGTGACTCTCCCTTGACCTAGAGAATAGAAGAATCAATTGTTTTCCAGTTTTTAGATCTTTATATTCTAAAAAACAGTCAAATCCGGTTCTCCAGTTCTGGAGTCACTACTGAGGAGGTTTCTACTTGACATGATGTGCCAGTTCAATTCCCGTAACAAGAAATGTCAAGCTGGTTCAGGAAGGTACACTATTCACTCCTGGCGGCACAGCAAAGAAATCCTGAGGGACTCCACTGGGAATGGGAAAGATTTACACAACTGTCCTAGGGTATACAGGGGAGTTGGTAAAATGAAAACTCATTTTCTGTATATGCTTCACAACAAAGCCTTGTCCAAGGGGAATGAGAGGTTATTTTCCTGATTGTAAGCCTTTGCACAGCAGAGCAGAAAGGCAAAACTGGGTGACTACTGAAATGTTAAGAGAGGAAAGAAGTCAAGGAGTGTATTTTTACTCAAAATGCCAGGCTGATCTAATTAGGGAGTGCCATTTTGTTATTTCAGGAAGAATATCCTTCTCTCTGTAGGGTCTATCACAGTATTTCTGGTAATGTGAAATAAAAAATGGAAAGTGGGCTTGCCTTTGCATAAGCAAAGTCAAGCTAATCCTGAAAATGGCAACAGATAAAGGTACACAGCAATAGACTATCGTTTCATGATTTTCCACATTCGCTTTAACAGAAAGTCACCCTGCTACATTCCTCGTTGTGGTGGTGCTGTATTATATAGCGTGAGTGGCATTTGCGAAGCCTGTTATGAGTTAAGATGGTACCTCGTGGCTAGTGCAATCCTGTTTTCAGTGGAAAGTTAGAATGAGGAAAAATAATGACTGTCTTGAGGTAAAAGGATCGTACTGGCTCTCTTTTGAAAGTCAAAAGTATGAAGAGATACCATTTCTTCCCTTGGGGAGATGGAGTCTAATGGGTGGCCAAAAGTACAGACAGCTACTGATTTTGCAAGAAGAAAGTTTATTTCCACTTCTCTAGTAAGTTTACATGAAAAAATTAGGTGCATATTTGTTGGCTTGGGACAGGCCTCTGAATGTGCTAAAAGCTCTTGGAATTATTATCAGACATCTTTCTATGCCTTCAAGTCTGGCTCAGTCCAGCTGAGGTCCTCAGGTTTCCCTCACCTCATCATTATAAAAACTTGTCCACATCTTTCCACTCTTTCCCTACTCCTTCCCTACCCCTCCAAACAACTCACATGCAGGTAGGTCCCCATCAGCTTTGTCCTTCTCCTCCCCACCATGATGGTGGAACTCGAGTATGTTCCCTAAGAGGTATGTCTGGTGGAGCTGATGAGTTAGGAAACCAGTGAGCCTGTCTCCATCCTGTCCCCCCTCCCACCCATTCTGAACTGCTTGGCTCCCAACCCCTCTCCCACAAGGCAGTGCTGTGCTCCACCACTGCCAAGCTCCCGACCGCCTGGGACTTGACATTTGTTCTTGTTTTCTCCTGTCTCCCCTAATGGGTATAGCACTACTAAGCGAAGAGGAATGCACAGAACAAGAGAGTTCAAAGTAATTGAGTCTACATTCATTCAGAAAGCCTGGATCCTTGCCCGCTCAGAACCTGCAGCATTTACATAGTTTCAGAAAGTTTAACCCTTTTTCATTGCACCTGGTAATGCTCTTTCGAGTGCAGAGCACTGTGCTTCTCTTGAGTGGCCAAAGATGCTGAAAGGTGCCTTTCACATATCCAGCTCTAGGAGGTCAACACTCAACATTTTATTTCTCCTTTTTTGCTCTGCAGGACAGTAACCAAAGACCTTGAGTTGTCATTTTTATAAGATGCTCAGGGAACTGTGTTGCAGAGGAATGATCACTTACCGTAACTCCTGAAGGCATCTGCCAAAAGTCTTATTTACTTACACAAACAGAACTGTGCTGGGTTTAAAAGAGCTTACTTGGTTTTCTGCTGCAAATCTGTCTGTTAGGGTGTAAACTCACTTCTAACTCCGTCTGGAGAATCAGTGAAGAAACAGAAACGTTCCAAAGTGATTACAACTGTAAACTCTTTGTGGTTTGTTTTTTTCTGATGATTAATTCTGAACAAACTCTCATTTCATTTAGGAGGTTATCTTAGTTGGCAGCTTATTACTGACTTTAAATTTGTAAATAAAAATGATTTGTTCAAAGTATAAAATCTAATAACAACAGAAATTCTTAAAATGGGCTATCAATTTTTCTGTCTGGATCTAAACATGCATCATAAGACTATGTAAGCTAAATAGTGCAGCACTGTGTAGGTCAGATGAGCAGCGAACCTCAGCAGGAACAGGAGTCGATCTGACTTGCCTGTTTAATTGTTAGTAGAAATGCTAAAATAAAAAATCACCCTTTAAAAATTATATAGTCTTTAGTAATCTTCCATTGACTGTTGCTTGACAAAAGACTGTAGGACGAGGCCCATTATTAGCACAAAAACATGGCGATTGGATTGGCTTTATTTACCTCTAGTTCAGATGTAATTATATCCTTTTTTAAAAAATCAAACACATTCAGATTTACTTCTGAAAATGTTTTAAGTATACACAGAGCTTTTCTCAGTGATACCGTTCTAATTAACCTGCCAAAGCATTTGCCAGAGCAGACTCTTTATAAATGTACATATACAAAACAAAGCAAAACAAAAAACCAATTTTGAAATTATCTGTTTATCATTCATTTAATCAGATGGAGGTAAAACATATAATTACAAGTGTGCGAGTCTCAGAAACATTTCAGTTACTACAGCCATACAATTTACATAAATGTCTGAAAGTTACTAGTATATGCGCCACATCAGATGCTGCCTAGCCCTATATTGTGCCTGATCTAGAAGAATTACAGCTGAATGAATTTCCAGACAGCATAGTACAGCATTATTAATGTTGCATTTTTAAGGCTGTTACAGAGCAGTTTATACTAAACTTGCCATTTCAGAGGGTCAAAAATGTAGTTCAAAGCCTCACTGGGTTGAAACAGGGTACATGAAGGGCATTCAGAAAACGCAGTTTGAAGCATAACCCTAAACTAGGGTTATGTGGAGGGTGTTCACACAAAAACAAAACATGGTTTTAAAATATTTTGGTTGAAACAACTATTTCTAGGCTAGCATGGGGAAAGAAATGCCAGCAATGAATCTTCAGAGAAGGGCACTGAAGTTGCACATTGTATAAATGTGAATATGTGTTAGTGTTGGATGGAAATTAGCCTGCATGGCTTTAAACGCTATGCCGACAGGAGTAGCCGGATCTATGTTAGTAATAACAAGCATCAAGCGGCCACATATTGCTAAACAGACAGTTTGTGTAAAGAAATGTTATGCTGAACTCTTTCCTGGTTCTGTAATTAGCTTTCTGCATGCAGGCTCTGAAACATCCTACTTGCTGTAGACTGGGAAGCAAAGGGAGGAGTGCCGGGTTGACCAGAAAAAATGTTTTTTTTATGTTTAAGAAAAAGAGTCTATCTGTAAATGATAGCGGACAAATGTGGGGAGGGGGATGTTGCCAACATTACTGTGGATTCACAGACTCCCTGCAAACTGAGAGCACAGGGCTGGCAGGGCCAGGAGAAAGGTGGAAAGTTTGGGTTTTTTCCAAGGCTCCAATACGTGCTGTACTTTTCCCATATGATGTGAGCCCTTTGGTGTTGCACACCCTTCGGTGTCCCTCCTTTTTCCCCTACTTCAGTGAAACATGCAGGAGCTTAGCTCACCGTCCTGTGTCTATGGGGAAATATGCTTTGCATCGAAAGCACACCTCAAAACAAGTAAATAGAAACCTGTCTCATCCGAGGGGGAAAGAAGAGAAGAGACAACAGTCACTCCCTCTTTCCTCTCCCCTTTTTCCTTCTCCTCTGAGCTATTTCTGTAACAGCATTTTCACAGCGTATAGGGGAGATGTATATTGCAGCGCTGAAATTTATTAGCAGCGGGTTTTGAGTACGAGTTGCCTTCGGGACAAAAAATAGTAAATTTGAATGACTGCCTTTAAAACCCTTTTGAAGATGAAAGGTAGGGGAGACGGTTGTTTTAAAATGCCTACATTAGCAGCGCTTCTTTAAAAGACTATAAATAATGCTAAAGCACGAGAGGGGCCTCGGCAGATCGCCGCACTTGTTGAAAACCCTCTTCCACTCCGCTGCCAGCACCGCGCCCGGGCGCCCCTGCCTGCGCCCCGCCGCTGCCTGAAGCGACCGGACCCTGCGCCGGGCACCTCTCCCCGGCGCGCTGGGC